ATTGCTAGCATTGCTGACCCACGACCATACTCAATGTGCGAGTCTTAGCAGTTTTGTCAGAGTTTGTACTTGCTTGTTTGCACTCTTGCCTTTCTCCCCAGAAACAGAAATATTTGTGCAGCCAACATAAACACATATTCCCAACACAATTTAAGGCTCTATTTTGCATTTTCATAAATTGTTTAAAAAGGGGGGGAAGCAAGCTATACACCAAGATGCATAGAGCTTGGAGTAATTCCTCCCGTTGAGCAATTTTCTGTTTTGATTTAGAGCACAGGTTGCAAATGTTCCATGTTTCACTTTCATTTTGCTCAGCTCCTCATTTGTGGAGGGTTTCCTTTAGCATATAGAGCCCAACACCTGGTCTGTGACTTGCTGCTGCTTCTATCACTTATATTGTTTTGAACAAATTAGCAATTGAACTCTTCCTGTTGTAAACAGATGATTGGCAGAGATGCTTATCTTAAACCGTTTCAGTGAGCCAGGATTTCTTTATACATCTGTTCCCTTCTCATTTTATTTCTTTATAAGTTTATGTGCCTTGTCAACAGTAAAATTTCTTCATTTTATTGAGTACTTTCCAGTATGTTCAACTGCAAGTGGCATACCAAAACTGGTGACTTCATTTATCAGTAGTATTAAAGCTAACTTACCCAAAGAAAAGTTCAAATATAACATAGACTTACTAATTTTGCAAGGAAAATATTGTTATGATTTAAGGTTTACTTAAGTGATCAGGACTGATTTGTAAAGCACACCTGTAACGTGTATATTCATTTCATTTGGTTGTAGAACTTCAGGTCCATCTGTGGCTGGGCTAGAAACAACATATACAGGAGGCAATGGATTTTCCACATCATACAATAGTCAGAGATGGTTGAATCTTTATTTGTCAGCTTGTAAATTTCTGGATTTGGCCCTTGCTTTGCCTTCTGAGAATCTTCCTCAGTTTCAGATGTAAGTAAAATTCAGAAATGCTATAAATATATCTGGTGGGAAGAAAACTGTAGTAAAAGGGATGCTATTTTGTGGAAGAAGCTATCTTCTGCCTTATAAGGATGTCCTCTTTTTCTGCTTGTAGCAGCAACAGTATGGCATTTGGAGATACAGCTCCCCATGGGAAAAACACGCCTCATTCCACTGTTGGCGGAAGCAAATTAGCACAGGAGTTAAACACAGGGCTGAAGTATTTACTGAATCTTACGGGAGTCTAATGCTTTTGCAGTTATGGATTACATAATGGACCAGATGGATTTCATTGTAGGGTACTGAAGGAAATTGCCCAAGAACTGGCTGACTTTTTATATAAATGTATGCTGATAAATACATTTATATAATATTTTTGAGGAATACTGGAGAAATGCTAGATGGTTAGAGGGCTAATGTCCTTATCTTCAAAGAGAAAAAAAAATGGATCAAAGAGCTACCAGTGGTCAATCTCATACAGATATCTGGCAAAATTCTGAAGCAGATTATCAAGAGATCGTTTTCAAGATGCTTAAAGATATTACTCAATGTGGAGTTCTTAAGAAAAAATCTTGCCTGACTAACCTTACTTTGTTTTCTTATTAGGGATCTTCCTTAGTAGGTTTTGAGAACGCTGTAAATTTCAGCAAACATTTGACCAATAACTCATGAATTCTGATTAGCAAATCAGTTAAGTGTTGGCTGAATGGCATCAAAATTAAATGGAGTCATAGCAAGCTCAAAAGTTACACTCAAAGATCATAAGCAAGCAGGTATCAGGTATCACATTGGGTGCCACAAAGTTCAGTCAATATTTTTAGTAATGACTTGGATGAAGAGGTGGAAGGACTGTGTATCAGATTTTCAGGTGACACAAAATTGGTTGGCAGAACTAATACTTAAAATTTAGAAACAACATTCCAAATAATCTGAGGGGTTAGAGAAATGTGCTGCAAATAAGAGAAATTTAACAGAGAAATGCAAAATAATTCACTTTGGTACTCTAAGAATAGTAATTGGCTACACTGTGATTCACATTCAGTTTATAATCTGACTGCCAAACAAATGCTATTTTAGGCTGCATGACCAGAAGCAGAGTTTCTAAATCATGGGAAGGGGGATCATAGCCCACCTCAAGTATTGTATCCACTGGAAACTGCACCTGGAGGAGGATTGAGGCAAAGTGGAAGAAAGTAGAGAAGGGCAACGCCAATAATCAGAACCAGCAACTAAGTCTTGTAAACTGAAATTAAAGGAGCAAGATATGCTCTGCTTAGCCTTGAGAAGACTGAATACAATAGCCCTCTTCAAATACCTGATAGGGTATCACACAGGAGGGCAGTTCTCTATTGTTCCAGAAAGGATGTGTGAGTATGTGTGCCTTCGAGTCAGCTTTTTGATTCCTGGCAATATTTTCAGAAGTGGTTTGCCCTTGCCTGCTTCCTAGGGCTGAGAGAGAGTGACTGGCCCAGAGTCACCTAGCTGACTTTATGCCCAAGGCGGGACTAGAACTCAGGGTCTCCCAGTTTCTAGCCTGGTGCCTTGACCACCACACCAAACTGGCTTTTTAATGTTCCAGGATACTGGACACAGAATAATGGGTTTAAGGTAGAAGGCAGATTTCAACTGAACGTTAGGAAAAAGAAGTCCCAATAGTAAAAGTTCAACCACACAACCAGTTATTGAGGGAAATGGTAGATATCCCTTTGCTCAGTGTGTTCAGACAGAGGCTTGACAGCTATCTTTGATTTGGGTTTCTTCACAGGCAAGGGGGTTGCGTGCAGTGGCCTAATTGTCCCCTTCCAATTCCATGATTGCACAAAGCTCCAACAAGCACAGCTGGGAATACATTTGAAATAAAACCTTCCCTGTCACCACAGGCTTTATTGCCATTCCACAAGAAGTGCAGAACATAACTGTCTTGAAAAACAGCAGCACTTCAGATCTGCTAAAAGTTGTTACGTAGTAAAGCATCATGTTTCGTCTTTGCATGTTAATGTCCTATGCATCAAGTTAAGCCTGGATGTGGCAGTGGATATTAATACTTTCAGGAAAGCAGGAGTGGGGTTTTTTTTTCCAAATCTTGCTTGCTGAATATGCAAAATAGTTCAGAGGTGAATTTGTTCTTTCTCTTATCAGGTACCGGTGGGCCTTTATTCCAGAAGCATCAGATGATTCCGGGTTAGAGGTGCGAAGACAAGGCACACACCAGAGGGAATTCAAACCATACGTTGTGCGATTAGCAAAGCTGTTACGAAAAAGGGCAAAGGTATTCCATCTTTTAAAAAATCTATGTTCAGATACTAAACTGTAGGTAAATGATATCTACTGTCCAGATTCTATAGAAAACTAGATTTTTCATCCATGTGTACCAGCAAGGCTGCTCTTCCTCTTTACAGGCTAAAAGTTAAACATTAGCCGCATGAGTTATTGCAGGGAGACATATAAAGGGTAGAATAATTCAGTGCCAGGTGTAGTTTTTAAGCCTTCTAGTGTTAAGACTGTTGCATAGCAGAACTTCATTTCCCCCCCATCATTTGGTACTTCATTAAAATAAGAGGAACAGCAGTTACTTGAACCATTCAGTGGTTTCAGTTGGAATGATTTGCTTTCTAACAAAATAGAAAAGTAAGTACCACTAAAGAAAATAAGACGTTGATGAGAAAATTTAGTTAAAGTTGTTTCATTATCTTCTTCAATGCAAGCTGGTAGTATCAGTCAGTTCTGGCTTTGGTGGCTGGTGGAAATGTGCAAATGACTGAATTTGGAAAAATGTACCAAGCGTAGTCCTGATACTTGTCTTGCTATTTACAGAAAAACCCAGAGGAGGACAGCTCAGGGAAAATACTCAACTGGGAACCCGGCCACTTGCTCCTGACCCTCTGTGCTGTCCGCAGCATTGAGCAGCTTCTCCCATTCTTCAACGTCCTGAGCCAAGTCTTCAACAGCAAAGTCACCAGCAGGAGCATTGGCCATTCAGGGAGCCCCATGCTTTACCCAAACTCTTTTCCCAACAAAGACATCAAAATGGAGAACCAAAAGACATTCTCTAGCAAAGTGAGACAAAAAATTGAGGAAATGGTTGAGAAGGACTTTCTGGAAGGGGTCATTAAGACATAAAGTGTAAATGGCAGAATCTTTATCTTACGTAATGTTAATTTCAAACGAAACCACTCCATCCTTCCAGAGCATCTAATTTCCTTTTTCATACTTTGTACGTAATGTATACTTCAGGATGTATTTAATTTAAATACTTGTAAATAAGTTCTGGATGTGGCCTGGATCAAGTTGAAATATCACTGGCACATATTGATTATGGTGCCTAATATTTATGGTACATTTTGTTTTTGTCATCTTGAGGTCTGTCTTTAAGAAACCTTACAATACAAGTTGCACATTTTTCTAGTTGTCTGTCTACGCACCTGTGCTGCTGCAGGGGAATCGCTTTCTCAACACGGAATGAATGAGTAGTTTGAATAACTGAATATTTCAATGAATGCATTATTCATCTTCAGGGAATATTATTTTCTTTTTACTAAATTATCTTCACAAACGATGCTGTGTTCCAAGTTCACAAGCAAGTAAGTGTGACATGGCAACCTTCTTCAAGTAGGCACCCAAAACAGATAAGTTCTTCTATGGAATGTCATTTCTCTGGGAGATTTCGGGATGCTACGCTTCTTCATAACTCACAGCAAATACCCTTCTGGTTCTTGTACATTGTAATGTTGAAGTCTGCTCTTCATGTGGTATAGCACTGACTCCAGCAGGCACTCTTCCAGCTGCTTAGACTGAATGTCCTGTCATCCCCAGCCAGCCAGTCCTCACTTTGCCCAGGGATTATAGGAACGATAGTCCAACTCTAGGATTGTCATGACTGTAATACTACATTTTTTCTGAAAAGCATTTTGAAGTTGAAACTTTAGCAAGAACAGGAAGCAGCAAACTCTTCTTAGTGAATTTTTTAAAATAATAAACGTTGAGTATGTTTCAGCTAGTAAAGGTTTTATATGACAAAATTTCATGATTCAGATCCAAGCGTGACACTTCATCAAACAGCCTTGGGTGGTTCTTCAAATCCGCCAGCTAAATGGTAGACAGCCAAGCTGACTTCATGGGCAAGTTTATCCGCATCCTCCTAGACAGAAAAATATGAGACTAAAGTAAATATACAATTACCTTAGCTAAGGGAATTTTTAGACATACTGTACTTCAGATTCTTCCAAAAGAATCTCTTTCGTTCAGTAGATCCAGAAACCACACATGCCACAGTCTGTATCTCACTTTAGTGTTCATCACTGTTAAGGTGTTGGAGCCAATTTATGTCTGTGCTGCAATGAAGCAAGTTTAAATAATTGCATACCACTGTTGGACCTCCCACTGTAAATAGCAGATTTGAAAGAAGGATTTTTTTAAGCAGAGGTGAAGCTGTGAAGGGAAGCATTAAATACCCTGTCCCCCATCTGCTGTTTACATTTACTGAATGTTTGCATTTTTTAAAAAAATACTTCAGTGTTACGTCTGGCTTGGCTCAAATAGGGAGACTCCCTTCAGAAAAGTAAATGGGGAAGAGATGGCAGAAGTATAAATAAGGACAGATTTCCTTTTAGAAGTTTCCCTATTCTGCTCCATTTCATTTTTCTGAAATTGTTCAACTTGAAAGACAAATGAGTTCAAATTTCAATCCCCGCTCCCAAGCTCTACTGTTTCCCATCAGAAAAGCTGCTAGAAACACAGCAGATATTTCCTAGCCCCAAACTACTTAAGAAAATCAAGAAAAGGAAAAGAACAACAAAACCATCCTCATTTCTCCTTCTCCAAATATACCCAAGAAAGGATGGGAGGGAGGATGGCCAATCTTCAGGAGGGTTGTGTACTGCTGCTTGCTTAACCTTGGATTATATCAGTTCATTTAGTTTGCAGATGATGCTCACAGAAAAGGATCTTCCTGCACACTCTAGAAATTCTTCCCAATTCTACGGCCCAAAGAGTCTAAATGCATCACTTCCATTCTGACCTGGGAGTCAGCCTCAGCATAGACTCTGACGATATCTTCTGTTCCAGATGGACGGACAAATGCTCGAGCCAATTTAAACTTCTGAGTGAGCTGGTCAATTTCTTCTTGCAGCCCTGGGGGTGTAATTGCTCGTCTTTCAGCATCTGTTGTGGTGATGACTCGCCTATCAGTAACCTGCAAGTCAAAGTAAAAGCAAGCAATATAGTCAGACCTGCTAAAATTCCAACTGGTCCTACCAATTCTCCAAGGAAGAGAAAATAGGAAAGAATTAAGATTCAAATCTGGGAGTTTGCCATCCTCTTTTAATGAGAGGTTCTATGATGCTAACTCCATGGGGGTACAAGAAATTTATTAAGCTAGGTTTAGTCCTGCAAAGATTTTTCATTTACAGTTACTCATTATTCAGGAGCCCCCATGTAATATTCCTAGATCCTATCAATTTCTTTTTGTCGATCACACTGTCTACTGGATTGCTGAGATGACTAAGCTATTCAAAGGACTTGTTAGTTCAACTTCTCATCTCTTACGGGAAACGTACAATTGCTTATACACAGAGAGAAAAGTACAAAAAAAAATAGCGAAAAAATTGCCTACACATCTAGGACAAGGGGTGTGCATGAAATGGAAAAATACTTTGTTTGAAACACAGAACACACCATCACATTCTGGAACAGCTGCTGGCACACCCTCTCCCGCACCTCTCCTCAACAGCTCCCAGCATCCTGCATCCCACCAGTCTACCCCAATCCTCCCAATGCCTTTACTCCCCTTCCTCACCTGCAGCTGACATCATTAAGTTTTTCTCTGCTCTCCCCATCTCTGGACCACTTCTACCCAGAAAAAGAAAGTTTTATATTTTGACATGGACAAAAACATCTGAAACATGTCACACAGATAGTTCCAACTCATTTGGTTCGGGTTCCTAACTAACCTTCACTTTGAGCTGTCGGTTTGGAAGATCCATGTACAAAGCATCCCACTGTGCAATTGTGAAGTTCTTCAATGCCAAGATGGCTTCAATCACTAGCATGTCAGAGAGAGCATCACCAACCGTCTAGTGCATACAAGAAGAAGAAAGAAAAACAACTGGGAAAAAGCAATCTCTTCGACATTTGGATAACCGAAAATCTCACATATAGGTACCTTGTAAAACATTACTGATTCTAAGCCGGGGCCCTACTTAGATTTCATTGTTCTCCAAACACCAATTAAAGGACCTTGCTTTGCAGATGAGTGAAGCAAGTATCCAAACTGCCTCAGATTATGGTAAGAATGAGTCCTGTAAGGAGTTTTTGTCTCTATATAATCTATTCCTTAAATCAAAATGATACTACAGACACTGAGAGCCTTTATCCTTTCCCCAATTTGTTTCATTTTTTTAGCTAATCATTAAAGTCTGCTTTGGTTATTGTTCACAAAATGTTCTTGTCTGAAGGAGCCTAATGGGAAACAAGCTAAAATCCACACAAAAGCCTATTAGATGCTGGCTTTTCATAATCACCAAAGTGTAATTATGCTCCCCTATTCTTTCTCCCAGTTCTGCTTCAAAACTGCTGAATCTGGAACCACCTTCTGAAAATATAGTCATCCTTTTAGTCGGTGGAACAGAATAGACTTTAAGTCATGAAACTGATTCAGAACACACCAGTACAGAAAAATGGCTAGGGAGCTATTGCAGATAATTTCCAGTTCTCATTGCTTAGGAAAAAAAACTACTGCCTCTATGGGATCTTACACTGGTCAAAAGATAGATCCTACAATTCTGCACCGCCATGGCTTCTCTCAGCCATTTCCCCTACCCTTACGAAGTTCTACAGTACACCAAAAAGCTTTGCACATTCTCCCAGTAATCCTCAACTGCATAGCTAAGAATTTTAGGAATTAAGTCTACGCTTATGTAAGGCATCCAGACTAAGGATGGTCATACTGGGGTATTACAAGAACCAGGTCAGGGTTTTTGTTTTAAATTACACTTCTAAATGGTGACTCCCTATTTACTGATTTGAGATGGTATACTCTGAGAACTTTTACTGATTTAAAACAAAACAAAGTATGTACTGAGTGGCTCAGATGGAGCCTAGATTATTAATTTTCTTCAAAATACATCTATTGGGCTCTTTTCAAGACAGAAATATTTGTAACAGCTTTGAACATCTTTGGGTAGTAGGGCCAAGCTACCTTTGCTGATCTAGAAAGCTAAGCAGGATCTCTCCTGGGTGAATATCTGAGAAGGCAAGGATTAGAGACTAGAAGGGAAACAAACATCTGGGAAGAGGTAAATAGCAAATCACTTCTCTACTTTTGCCAAGGAAACTCTATGGATAGGTGCCAGTATATAATTAGGAGCCCAATTTGACTTCAAGACTACATACAAGCTTTAGTTTTAGTTTTTAGTTCCTACCTGATTGATCAGATCAATTGTGTTTTCAAGCATTTTTGCAGCTTCTCTTTTTCGGATGTCTTTTTCTTCTTTTGCCTGATACCTTATCTTATCTTCTGCAGCTTTACTAAACAATACCTTGAAAGAAAGACAAACACAGTGGAACATCAACCGAGGAAGGAGTGGAACAGAATGGTAATCAACATGGTCTCACCCCCTGTACTCAAAAGGAGATGCTTCATCCGTGGACAAAAGGTTTCAGTTTAGCTTTGAAAACAAGACTGCCTTTTGTTAGGCGCTTCCAAATGTGTAGCAACCGCTATGGATCGGGAAAGAACATTTCATGGCTGAACTGTCTGCTGTGTGTTAAATACTTCAATCCTCAATGTGCTGTTCCCCCTTTCCAGCAGTTTCAGTGGACGATGCCGGGTTTTAGGATTACAAGAGAGGATGGAAAAGCATCTTCATATCACCATTCTCCATACATCATACTCCGTCATACAGACTACTATACTTGCTTTAATTACTAAGCCAAAAAACCCCAACCGTTGTACCTGCCCCTCCTTTGCTACTTGTTTTTTGACATGTGGTGAAGAGAACTGCACCACCAATTTCCATAAAGATGTGATGGTATTCTCAGTTTTATTTTTGATCTTTCCTACATCATCCCTTTCCTTTATCGAGTTTTCTTTTACCACACTGAATTGGTATTTTCATCTAATGTCCCACCACATCCCAAGATGGCTTTCCTAGTTGATCATTGCAACCTGACACTCCTTAGGGTATAAGTGGCATTTGAATCTTTGCTGCTGCTTACACAAAACCGTGTTGGCTACTATAAAGCCCATTATACTGATACAATAGAGAGCAGAAGGAAAATGATGCTACCATTAAGGTTGGTACAAAATGAAGTGTATGCGGAGTTTTAAGTGTAAGGCTGAAGTGGATAATAAAAAGGCAGAGAGAGTAAGAGATCACAAGTACAAAAAATATGCAAATATTCATATAGTTCATCTGCTCTAGACTCTTTGATGAATGGCTCTTAACTCCTTTGGGTCAACAAATAAATACTTACTGTGCCATGACCGTTTGCTTCAAAATAAATTCCAATGTCAAATTCCTGGGCCTTGTGATGCAAATGCTTCACTCCTGTTTTGGCACAGTGGACAGGCACCTAAGAAAGAAAGACCATAATTCTGGGTCTGTAATTCTGCATTACAAGCAACGTAATCTATGCAATGCTGGAACCTACAAAGACAGGACTTGCGTTAAAGACTCTGCATCCATGTGAGGAGACACAGTACTCCCTTGAGGGAGAAGACTCCAAAGGGCAATGCTTGACCAATGGTAAGAAGCACATTACAGCAGTGTCACTGATCACCAACAAAAGGACACTGGCTGGGTTCACACAACATGACTTAGGGCAGATAAAGATCTAGCAGAAGTATTGGCACAATAGGAGAAGCATAGTTAATGTTAACCTTGGTTAGGTTTCAGGGGCATAGCACTCTGTACGAATCCAACCCACCTGGCTAGTTTACAGTTCGTGCCACAACCAGGTTAAGTGTGCTGTATGAATGCAGCCACAGAGAACTTTAGAAAGATACCCAGTAAAAAAGGAGGGGGGTTCTGTTATCCTAGTAAAATAATCAAATGCAACCAAATGCAGCTGGTTTTGTGGTCAGTAATTGTGGCCAAGAGACAGCATTCCTGCTGTGCTGCTTTTCCCATCAAGGAGCAAGCCAAATTACTCAAGTCTCTCTCACAAAAATGGACATCAGTTCTGGGATTTTTTTCCTAAACTAAACGTTTCATACCTTGCCATAAAACAGATTCTCAGAAAGCAGCACACGTAAGTATCAGTTTAAAATCCATTACATGCAGGGTTGATTTATTTACAAAAGTGATACTCATGAAATCCAGCACTTGGGATACATAGGAAAAAATCAACCACAAGATTTTAACAAGTAAATGTTTTATTTCTTAAAAAAAAGTAGCCCAGCTTTCTCCAACCTGCTGTCTTCCAGATGTGTTGGATAGCATCACTGTCAATCCCGGGCCACTAACCACAAAGAAAAAAGCTGTAAGTCCAGTACATCTGGAAGGTAGCTCGTTGGGGAATGCTCTTCGAGTTTCTCTCTGGGTAGGCATTACACAAAAAACACATTTGTGCGGAATTAGCAATCCCCTATCCCCACCCTACTCCATGTTGGAAGTGTTGATGTTTTAGCCCTAGTAATTTTTTTTTTTTACTTGTTTAAGATTGGAAGAAGTCAATCTCATACCTTCATGGTTTGTTCCAGATAACCAGTAGAGCTCCCATTGGCATATGCTGTCTGTATTACTGCAAAAGATAAGGTTTGCCCAGCCTGAAGAAAGAGAGAAAGGAACGTTCCACAAACAAGATTCAACTTCGCAAGAACTACATGACTCCTTACCTCTGAAGTTTAAAAATTCAGGTTTACAAAGAGATGGCAGTATTTTCTTTACCTGAGCATGAAGGTCAAGAGCACCGCCTTCCCTCTTTGGTTGGCAGAACTTGTTAACTGTTAGCTGATCCTACTTTTAAGATCAACGCTAAGGCAACAAAGTACTCCATCGCTTATGAATAATACTGGCTAGGTTTTAGAGCATTCATTAGATTTTTTTTTTTTTTACAATTAACATTATTTTTACACTGTATAGTAAAATTTTGATTTAACAAGGCCGTCTAGAGAGGAAGAGTGTCATTAAAGTCCAACACCTGTAATTGTATAATGTCACTGGCAACCATTTACATAAATTAATGCAAGTGGCATTGATTAAGTCAACTGTGTGGACTGCTTCAGAAAAAATAAACTTTGCCTATTATTTGGGAGTGAAGTCCAAACTAACATTTAGTCTGCTGTATCCCAATTCCCCTGAATGAAGGTCTATAAAATTAAAGTTTTACTGCAAGTTGCCTGTGAATAAACCACACTGGATTTATATGTATAATGTGGTTCGTTTAGTTTACTGTGATATGTAAACCCAGTGGTTTTTAATCAGCTGAGGAAATGCTCCACCTAGATCAAGGATCCCTCTATGCTTAATCTTTGTTCAAGCCCAAGAAGCAGCCAATTGTTGTCTTTTGCAAAACGCAACACAGCTCCCACTTCCCCTTCAAACAGTAGCACTATACTTTGGGGGAAAATAATTTACTGTATTTTTCTTAAAAGGAATTCTCAGTCTGGAAAAGATAAGACAGGTGACTGTACAAATTGTTAATTACAATACAGCTACTATTATTGCTGGAGTCTCTTGAGGAAAAAGAAGTAAGAGTTTTTTACTATGGCATTTTATTTGGACCACTTCTTCCACATGGGAGATAACTCAAATATACAGGTGCATGTGTTCACTGTACATCAGTCCAGATCTATCTGTTAATCACAGCAGAATATACTTCAACCAAAGGAATTCAATTACCTTTATTAGAAGTTCCTTAAGAAAAGTGCTGATTAGAGTTGCTATTTTATCTCCATCTAGAAGATGGAAATGGCCAGGAGCATCTATATAATAGTAAACAATTCGGTCAGCATCACCATCCAGCGAGCAGCACTTCTCACCAGGGTTCATTTCTAGTCCTATCAAACAAGGCAGAAATGCAGAAGTATTCAGTGGCAAGAATTTGGAGCATAAAAATCACGGGTTTTCCCTACTTCCTAGATGAATTGCCAAGTTAAACCAAGGATGGGCAACATGTGGTCCTCCAGATGATGTTCAGCATCCATCTGCCCTACTCAGTATGGCCAATGCAAACAGATGAATTGGAGGTACAATCCAGAACCTTTCGTGCAATGCTCACTGGCCACCTTGTATCAATAGCTAGGCACAGATATCCTTTGCAGTGCAAGATACCAATTTTAAGCTTCCTGTTCTACCTCAACTTTATCAAAGGGCCAGAATGCTAATAAAGTAAGGGGTACAGCTGATCACGGTCCCTAAAATGGTTAGAGATTAGAGATAATTTACTTATCAAAATACTCTTTCCTGATAGCAATGAGTTGGAGCAGGAGATGACATGAAATAACAGAGGATGAAAGCTAGTGGTGGGAAAGACCCAATCCAGGGATTACCAAGATACAACATGATCTTGTCTTGGGTGTCTATAAAATATTTTTGCCATCAAAGACCAAGTATTTGTAAAAAAAAACATACTATTCATAAAATCATAGAATTAATTTCATTCCTATTCAAGTTAGAAGATTAAGTTTCATTCCAATTTAAAAGAGGAATTTGTCGCATCACGATAACTTTGACCCTAGCAAGCCATAAACCTGAAGAAGCAAGACCTCTAGAAATCAGCTCCTATACAACACCCCAGTATGGAAATGAAAGATGAATTAAATAAGTATTCTGTCTTTTAAAATTTTTTAATCTAAAACAAGACCTCTTGATTCAGACAGACCTGCTGCTTTATCAAAACCATCTCCCACTGATGTCCCAGAGACAGAGAGTGGCTCAAGTTGAAACTGAAGAAGCTGAAAACTGAACCTTAAAAAAAAACAACTTCCAATTTCCTTTGTACATACTTAAAACTACACGTGCGCTATATTCCTATCTAAGGGAAATGGAGGAAAATTAGCTGATCAGGTTGCACTAACAACTGTACTCAGTTATGATTAAGCAGGTTCATCTCCCTCTGGCATTTTCCAATATCTTCTTGACCAAAGAAATGAACTTGTGTCTGGCAAGCGGGACAAGTTGGCTTTCCCTGGGAAAGGCATCTGACTAAAACAAAAGGAATCTGCTCACTCAGTAACTCCAGCCCCTCCTAAATTCTGGAAACAATTGGGGCTTGATCAATAGTCTTTTCAGGCAAAATATATTATAGAGAAAAATCACCTTTGGGGGTAATGAGACCAGCATGTGTTCTAATTCTCTTTTAAACCTTGTTTCCTTCAAGTTACATTTTTAGAAGAATCATTTTAAAAGAGGCTTTTTTCACGTAGGAATGCCTGGGTCTGCTACAATTCTCCATTCCAGCTTTGGTTTTCTTCCATTTAGCTTTGGGGATAATTTATTTCCCCTTTCTATTTGCAAAAAAAAATCATCTTAAAAAGGGCTACTCTTCTAATGGCATACCCACAGGAGGCTTCTGGTGAACTTTGACAAAATCAGCCCCACACATGTGATTGAGTTTCCCTTTCATTCCATCATTGGCCAAGCACATTACAAAGCTCTCTGAAAGGTACTGTTCCATTTCCTTGAGTTTTAGGGCTCCTATGCCATTCGCACAATCGATCTTCAGGGCCCCTCGGCCATCTCTCTGGGGGGCAGCCTGCAGAGAAGAAACCAAAAGATAGCTCAGGAAAGAAGGGTGGGCAGACCCCAGCAGGTTTCTGTGAGAGGAGATTTCCAACTCCCAACCTTTCACTTTATGGGGTCTGTCCTGCCACTACAGCTTGTTTTCGTTAAATTATTTTCATTAAATAACTCATCAGAGGCTAAGTACATATTTTACATAAATAACAAATAAAAGCTAAAAATTTCATAAATGAACTTCAGTGATATGATCTTGGGTACTATAAACAAAAGGTCTAGGATTGTCCACTTGGGCTTATAGGATTATACATCTACTTCAGCAAAAATATTTTACACGTATTCGAAAGCAAGTAGGGTCAAGGACAGCAAAATTTCCTAAAGTTCTTCTTCAGCAGGAAAAAAAACCCATTTTTGGTCCTCTAGCTCATGATTTGAGAGTGTTAATATCCTGGCCAGGGTTATAGCTATTCTTAAAGGACACTCTTCTAGGGAGAAGATTTTTCATGAATTTTTAATAAATGCACTTAAGAATCCAAGCCAGGTCTTCTCTTAAGGGAACAAGGTTCTTTTACCTGCATTGAAAGCTCCAGAAAAGCCTTGGAGAGCTTTTGATAATAGCCCTCCACTGTTGGTGTTCCATAGCTGCCATGAGTGTTGTGACAACGGACCATGTAGTGTAACTGTGGGGTTGTTACTAAGCCATAGTCTAATAAGAGAGAGATAGAAGAGTCAATCATTCACTACCTATGCTCAACTAAAGCCTTATACCAGATAAGGAACCTGTAATAATCCAGATTTTGTTGAACTACAATTCTCAACAACCCAACCGTCAATTGTAAGGAATGCTGGGAGTTGCAGTTAGTACATTTGCAGGGCCAGAACTTCCATTCCCAGCTTATATTGAGTCAGGCTATTGGCCAGGTGAGACCTATATTATCTATTACAAGTGGAAGAAGTTCTCCAGGGTTTCAGGCAAGAGTCTTTTCCAGTTCTACCTGGAGATTTCAAAGACTGAACCAGAGACGACCTGCATGCAAAGCTCTGCCCCTGAGTTCCAGACTTCCCAAATGGGTTTCCTTAAACCTACATGAACCAAACAGGAGAAATATCAGTATCAGGATAAGCAACCAAATGGTGATCAAAGGGCAAACATACCCTGATATTGACCTCCAAGGACAGATATACCATCGATTACTGATTGGGAAAGCTCCTTGCCACTTGGCCTGCATGCAGAACATAGAAACAAAACAAAACAAAAATGCTTTGTTAAAAATGCTCCACCAACATACAAACTGAAACACAAATAGTAGCCAAATAAGATTTCTTTCTGAAAAGGGAAGGAATTGTAGCAGCCAAGGAACTCAAAGAGTACCAGGCAGTTGTTTATAAGCATCCACTGAGAAGTCCTTGGCATTTTACATAGTCTTCCCAACCATTTATGTGGCATCTACTTATTACCTGATTTATTTTATACATCTGCATCCCATCTTTCTTCTTTACAGACCTTTAGCTGACTTACGTGGGCTAGTAAAGAGTGACTGCCTTCACCAGAGTTGAGGTCCGCCGACAGAGCTACAGTCCCAGGTGCCATTACTGAGAGAGGGTTAAAGCCAATGCTGAGTGGATAAAAGGTGCCCTTGGGAAATGCAAGTGCTGAAGAAGGGAGGAATTGGACTGTCCTACTGCGAGGAGTAAGGCAAGCCACCAGAGGGAAGCGCAGAGCAACAAATGGCTGCATTAAGAACTGCTTATTTTATGTGCCATTCCAGTTACTACAGGCAGTCCTTGGGTTACAATGGCAATCGGGACCAGAATTTCCATGCTAAGCAATCTCGGCAGTCCCAACTGCCATCATAATCCCAAGACTGCAGGGGTCATTAGGTGGGAAGAGATGAGAGTCCCAGGCAAGGAGCACAGGGGGTGCATGGGTGCCACAAGGGCTTGGGATGCTGCAGGCAGGCACTATGAAGTGCAGGCAGGCCAGTGTGGGCCACAGGCGGGCACTAGGGAGTGCAGGTGGGGGTGATGCAGGTGCGCACACTACAGAGTGCAGGTGGGTGGGGGGGTGCTATGGAGTATGAGATCCCTGGGGCTCAAGAGAAAAAGCGGTGGGAGTGACTTATGGGAGCGACTTGTGACCTACTCTGCCAACTTCCCCACTGACTTTGCTTGTGGGAAGCTTGCAGGGAAGTCCATAAATGGCACTCATGTGACCGCAGGACACTACAACCATCGTAAATGCAAGCCAGTTGCCAAGTGCCCAATTGCAATCACGTGACCATGGAGGTGCATGCTGCAATGGCCAGAACTTCAAGGACTGTCATAAGTACCCTTGTTCACTGCCACTGTAACTTTGAAAGGTCACCAAACGAGTGGGCACAACTCAAAGACTACCTGTATAGCTGCTGTTCTGCTGTGTTAGATTTTGTTATGACCACAATTGCCCTTCTTTTCAGTCTTTGGTAGTGATGAGGACATTTTAATTTTTCTTTTAACTGACCAAGGCTTTTTCTGAGTAAAGCAAGAAAATTACTCCTTAGCAGATTTGGTAAGGTTACGCACGGCTACATATGCCAGCCTTGGGTTTTCCCAGCGCCTTCCTGTTTCCAGTTCAGGGCAATCACTTGATTCTAAATTGCAGAGTAACTGCAGTTACTTTTTTTTCTCTACTTAATTTCATGTCATGTAAATGTTTTCTGCCTGGGTATGTCTGCATTCTACAGTATTAGCTTAATATATATGTGTGTATCCACTGCTCTGTTTCTACACCTAACCAACCCCCTAATTTCAAGTTATGGAAGAGTCGATGGGCAGTGGCAGCAATTTTCTTTCTGCGAGTCAGGCTAGCAATTGGCTTTCCTCTGGTTGGTAAAACCTTTGATTTTCCATCCTCTTCAACCCCTGGGGGGTCATCTGTACAAGGTAGACCGTGTCCCATGAGGGAACCTACTCTTCAGATCTTTAGTAGTTTTGTCAGCAATCTTCTTTGGGTTTGCCCACAGAACTAATAAGCCTTCAGCTTTCCAAACACTCCCCAATCCAACTCAGCTTTTCCAGCCTGCATTTTTATTAAAACCAAAAATCTTCAACAGATAGAATTGTTTAGGAGCATCTACCTTTTCCCAAAGTTCTACCCCAGTTCTTCTCCTGTTTTTAAGACTCCCCTCTAATGCCAGTTCAATGCCTACAAGCCCCATCGTCCTTCCTTCATGAATGCTTCCTACGAGGAACCAAACTATACTCTACTCCCAGCTTCTCCTTATAAGCAAAGCCAGAACAAAGCGGATACATAAACAGCCACCAGGAAGCCATGGATGAATGCAGGGCTACATCACACTCCTCTCACTGTGCTGTGGAAGTAAAGTTGAAAGGGTTGAATGCGTTTAGTCCACTCAAAAGCCGAATAAAAAGGCACCATGGCAACCATGGCCATCCAACTCTTTTTGCAGCCCTCCAAGATCACATCTACCACAATTTCCATATGAATCGTCCATGCAAATTCATTTGGCCCTGACCTGCAAGACATGTATCGGCTTTCTGGCTTACCGGGTGTCTCTACCAATCACAATGAAGGCCTCGCTCTGAAGGTCCACTGCCTCTCTCTGGCAGATGTCAGTCAGGACACAGTATAACTGGGGCTCTTCTGCGTTGGCCAAGAACGTAGCATGTTCTTCCCAGGCAGGGGCCAACATTTCACCTGAAGGATCAATCAGCTTCACCCCATTGTCTTCCTGGGAAGGCAGAAAATTATCATCAAGGTTTTTGGCAGGTTTAGAAAGAAGGTTTAGTTTCTCTGACAATTGAAGCAAAGAAATACATTAGAAGTGTGTAAAGTTTCAAATTTGAAGTGTTTGGAACTCTAAACACTTATTTCAAGCTTAAAAAACTCAAAAGGAACTGTTTTGAATTTGAAATGGTTCACGCCTGAAATGTTTTGCACACCTTTAAAAGATATAGTATTGTAACTTGTCCAAGGAAAATTCTGTTTTGAAGTATAACACATTCATAAAATAAAACATTAATCAAATCAATCACACCAAAACTTTTAAGCAATTTTTCAAAAAGAATGTCAAAAAAGGGGGAAATTATTTAATCTCATTGAAGAGAAAGGTCAGAGATGGCACTCCTGTTCATGCTTATATTGCAAAAAGCCCCCTGAACTCAGTGAGACTTATTTCAAAGTAAACATGCATAGTTTTGTGTTGTAAGTAATTGAACAAAGAAGACTGGGCACATTATGAAAAAGCTCCAAGAAGTGCAAGTTACATCCTATTGAAATCAATAGGACTTAAGCCCCTATCCTAAAATTACGCTGACTTTAAAAAATATTTTCCAGTTTAAACTGGGCATCTTAACCTTACAGAGAGTCAACAGTTAAGGAGTCTTTGTTTTCAAGGCCCAAAGAACCTTAGAACCAGAGCTCCTACACAAAAGCCACTCTCCTTCTCTCTAACACTCATTTTCTTACTTCAGGATTGTGAGAGGCTGTAACCATCACACCAATAGTGGATTTGGTCTTCTTGGACCTCAGGACAGCAAGCAATCCCATACGAAACATTATGTGGTTGAGGTTTTCTGCCTTGCTACGGAATCCAGCTGTTCCATAGTGGAGGGAAAGTCCCAGAGGTTTGGCATGCAGTTTCGAGTATTTTGTAATTGCTTCGAAGTCCATTTCTGTAGGATGCACAAGAAATAATACTGTTTATTGCCAGAAATGTTAGAGGTGCCATAAATCATCAGGAAAATAAACTGAATTTTATTCATAGTAGAATCTATTCTTTATGCTATGTAGAAAGGAATGCAGGTAAAAAAAAATAGTAGAATCATTATTTGCCAACACAATGAATGGACAGATTCACTATTTCAAATGGCATTCTGAAAAGCATTTAGGCCAATCTGAATGTCACAGCAGAAAAGAGCTCTGCCTGTGCTCCAGTAGTCTGATGCTGATTCTGCCTTTTCCAGATATTTATATCTTCCAGAAACGTGTTTGAGGGCAAAGTCTTAATAGTTACTATATAAAGATGAGAAACTCCAAAATAAAGACTTCACCTTAGTGTGAGAATGTCTTATCTTAGATTTGAAGATCGGGTAATTTAAAAGGAAAAGACAGGACTCCCTATTCTTTTCATCTTAGTCAAAATACAAATAGTTAAATTACATAAAACCATAACGAATTAGATCAAGCAAGCCAATACAGGAAAGATATTGTTTACACTACCAAATCTAGACAGCCCTCTGGTTTTCAGGGAGGATCAGAGAGCTGTCTATTTTAGAGTGCATTCAGATAGCTGGTGTCAAGCTTTCCCAACCACAGGACCCAAAAGCCCATCATCCCTCATCCTCCCAACATGCTTTTGGGCTCTGAGTGGACAAGGGCAAAAGGATCAGTCTAAGAAAATAGAGCAAGATAGGCAGTGAATGAAGCAGCCTTAAAACAGGGAGTAGGCACGACAGCAGAGCAGACATCTACCTCCAGATCTGTAACCAAACTTACATTTCTAAGTTCAGTCTGGCTACATCATTAAAAGGGGTTTGACTTACTACAGAAGGATCCCTGTTTTCCTATCCATAATCATTTATCCTAACACAGCATTTCCTGAAAGGCTCTTTTAATAGACAACAGCAGAGAAAAATCATCTGACCAATTTTCTACTGTTTGCAGTGACTGTTAGCAGAACAGTTTCCTGTTCCTTAGAACTGCTGCAACAACTTTTAACCTTTGCAGCTAAACTGGTTCTCCTTCTATTAGGAAGAAGCATATCACCTATAGCATGAAAGTAGCCTCCTTTTCTCTTGAAACTTCACTATATCTGCCAACACTGCAGTCTCTTGACCAACTCTATTCGCCAAGCATGGGGACACTAATGGAAGGAGTGTTCTTGCTTGTCTGTTTTTGCCTTTTTCATCTAGTAACATGTAGGTGCATAAATCACTTCACACAGAAGGATTACTAGAAGTGGCCACACTTTGGGAAACTCTTTTATTTTAATTGTGTTTGGAGACTGGGAGTACATAGATATATGTATTTCTTGTTACTGAAATTTCTTGAAGTATATTGCCTTGGTTTTTAGTTCTAGAAATGGCTAAAAAAAGCACTTTATACAAATAAGTGTGGCTGAAAGTGAAATGTTGATCTGTTTCATCCGTTTTCCTTTGAAGGCACATTTTATGCCAGTTTGAAAATAAAAAATAATCAACTTGGCTTATTCCATTTGCTATTTTATCTGCATGTATTGCATTTATATAGTATCCATTTTAAGGGAAATTCAGAATCGTGTGTGTGTGTGTGTGTGTGTGTGTGTGTGTGT